AAACGCTACCCGCCCCCCACCGCCCCCCACCTGCCCCCAAACTATCATGATCCCAATTCTACCTTACAAATCTGGCTAGACCAGAGGATGTACACTGGTATAGATAGGAATTGGAAACACAAGGAATCCAGGACAGATGATCCCTTCAGGACCAGTGCTGATAGTGGCTATACTGGGAGGGTTGAGGGAGGGTGTGCTGGAAAGGAGGAACTGATTATAAGGACTCTGGTTTTCACTCTAGAATGCAAGAGTCTATTTATCAAGAGTCCTTTAACAGACCCTCCCACTCACCCACCCAAGCCCCTGGAACACAGCCCTTCTTTCTTCACCCATTACGGTTTAACATTTCTTTCGGCCGCCTGCATCTCTTTGCTTTAATTCTCAAACAGCACGCAGGGCTTCCCTTCTCCATGCTGCCTGCAATCCCTCAAAATCACTTTTTGCCTTTCTCGGTGACGGCTTTTTAAACCCTGCCCTCTCTCCACCCCGGGGAACACACCTGAGAAACCCTGGCATGATGATACATTCCCAGAGAAAACAAAGTGCTTGCCAACCCACGACTCACCCCATTTTCCAGCATGTTTGTTATAATGGGAATGATAGCAAAGCCTGAAACAGCCCTGCTATTCTAAAGGCGTCCATTCAATTGCTTGTAAATCTCTCAAATTTCTTTTCGGACTGCAATTTCTCATGTCTGGGGACCAGCCCGGAAGCAAATTGCTTTTGGAAGGTTTCACAAAGATCTATTCAGCCCTTTTAGCGAGTTATCTAAACGTGGGGAGGGGGTGGCATTTTCAGCTGTGAAGGCATGGGATGTTTTTCATATGCTTGAGCAACTCAAAAAGGACTTTGTTTTCAAACTTGGCATGTATGAGGTGCTGGATGAAGACCAGGGCCTCTGACAAGTTTGAAGAAATGGGTTTGGAAATAACAAAATAAAATAAGGGCATCTAATCACCTCCCCCACCTTTGCCCCCATACACAGGCCTCTTTCCTTAAGTCCTGAATGTGGTCCCAATAAATCACTCCCTTGTATTGGAGGGGTCCCTTCTAACAAAGCCACACATTGGTTAATCTTCCACTAATGCATGTTCTTTTGATCTAACAAATAGTACTTCGCTGTCCATTAACCAGAGTTGTGACAATAATCACTCATCTAATAAGTAAAACAGAATCCACTGAGACCTGGGAAATGCTGTGGCTGGGGAAAATAGCCCCGCGCTCCCCCCAAAAGGAGAAACATGTCCTCACAACTGACAATCGGTCATTCAACTGGGGTCCTGAACGGCCATGGACTCCGGGTCTGGGAAATGGCGGCTCGGCATTCTTAGGGACAGACGTCTGTGGTGCTGCAAAGTAGCTCCCCGCCTTTAGAGGCCCCCAAACAGCCAGAGGCACCACCGGAGACAAGAGGCAGAAGAAAAGCATCAAAAAGGAACGGGGTTCTGAAGTGGGGGACAAACTACGCAAAAAAGAGAGGTGTGCTTGGGAGAGAAGAAGATGCATTTAGTCTTCATGAATCCGGGGTGGTGGGTAAAATAAAAAGGAAAACCAAATCAAGTCACAAAGCAAAGATCATTTTTAAGCCTCAAATCATAATTGCAATTTTTGGGAAGTGATATGCCACCTTTGAAAAACAAAAACAAAAACGGGAAGGTGGGTGGATAAAGGGGGAACTGATCACAATGATCTACATATAACCCCCTCCCTGGGGGATGGACAACAGAAAAGTGGGTGAAGGGAGACGTCGGACAGTGTAAGATATGACAAAATAATAATAAATAAAAAATCAACAAGGCATCAGGAAGGGGGGGGCGGGGGGGGCGGGGAGAAAATGAGCTGATGTCAGGGGCTTAAGTGGAGAGCAAATGTTTTGAGAATGATGAGGGCAATGAATGTACAGATGTGCTTTCCACAATTGATGCATGTATGGATTGTGATAAGAGTTGTATGAGCCCCTAATAAAATGATTTAAACCAACAAAAAAAAGCACATACTCACAAAATCTTCAGCTTTGCAAAGCCATTGTCCCTAATTTCTGGACTGGATGGAACCGTCTGCTTCGGAGCTGTTCCTAGTTGTGACTGGCTGCGCTTCTCAGAGTCAGGGCTGTTTTTTAGCTCTCTGAATGTGTGCCAAGAAATCTGAGGCACCTCTGCCAAATGTTTCTGAGAAGCAGTAAAAACCCCAAGGCACACGGACGCAGAGTGGACTCACCTGATGTGCCGGGCTGGCAGTTGCACTGGTAACCGTTGACCAGGTCGATGCAGCGCCCTTCATTCAAGCAGGGGCTGCTGTAGCACTCATCGACCTGGTCGCTGCAGATGGCGCCCATGTATCCCGGGTTGCAGATGCAGGTATAGGAATCAATACCATCCTGGCACTGGCCATGATGGCAAGGGTCCGGCTCACAATTGTCTATGTTCTCTTCACACAACACGCCCGTGAAACCTTTGGAAAGAATTTCACAAGGACTCATGAAACTAAGGCAGAAAACCTCCCATCGAAACAAAATATAGCCACTGCCCCAACGTTTACCAACACTCCTCCCATTTCTTAAAACCACTCATGCTGTTTATTGGACTTCATGACACAGAGTAGAGCTTGCCGTTTGTAAAGTAAGACTGAAGAGTTGTGATTAAAGTTTTACCAATCAAATTTGTATTGTGCAAATAACTTTTGGACTCATTCATGGGGTTTCGGTGACGAACAGTGCTTTTCCCCCTTTATGTGTTTGCCGGAGTATCCCTTTTCTTGCCAAATTCAACATATCCAAACACACCAAAACCGCTGCCATCGGGTCCGTGCTGACTCCTGGCGACCCCTCTGTGGCTTTCCGAGACCGTAACTGTTGACGGACGGCAGGAGAAAGCCCAGCCTTTCTCCCAAGCAGCTGCAGGTGGTTTCAGACTGCCGACCATGCGGATCACAGTCCAGCACAACCACAGCCCCACCAGGGCTCCTTTCCATAGGTGCCGAGTGCAGAATGCCACATATGGTTTTGTGTATTTTATCTTCCCAATTCCAAGGAGAACAGAAAGCTTTTCTATATTTCTCTTTTCTCTTCCCGCAGCGATATCCACACACGGCGGGTTTTTCATAAACACTGGCTTGGTGAAATGAAAATGAACCAGTTATGGGTATTTAAGAGGGAAAGGAACAAATCAGAGCCCCCTCCTTCGAGGCTTCAGGGGACCAACTTTAAACCTTTACCAAAAAGGTGTCAACTCGAATTTTAAAAATTCGAGTTCAAGCTCTTTAATCCTTATGCTCCCGGAGGGAAGAAGCTGACAAGTGGAAGACGAGATGATGGAACTTCTTCAGACAGAACCAATTGTTGATGCAAAGCGAGGGAAGCTGCGTGGCTCCTCCACGTGGCCCAGTCTGGGCCGTTCTGCAAGAACCTGGGCTTCCAAGGCCAAAGAAATACCCACTGTTCGCATTGGTTTATGGGAATAAATTTGCCTTCCTGTGGCCACTGGGAAATCATGGGCGTGATACTTAAAACTATTTGAAGAATCCTTTTTTTCCCCCCTAAAATAAGATAATGTTTTGAAGATATAAGTTATTTTCTCCTCGAACAGTCAGAGAAAAAAGAAATGGCGAATTTACCTTTCCTACAAACGCAATTAAAAGTCTAGCTGGTCTCTAGAATACAGGCCTGGGCAGAAGCAGATGTGTATGTAGTAGGGACGATGGGCTCATTCAAATCCATCTCCCAAATGAAAAACGAGGCCTCAGCCCCAAAGACAGGGACTGTTTGTGCACAAGCAGCTGAAGTCCGGAAAGAACAGCAGACAGAGAGCCAGAGCGCTCTCCTGACAGTTATATACCTGACTCTCTGCGGCATGCGCTGTCTTCTACGTACAAAACCTCGTACGTGCACACAATCTGTGCTTATATTTCTCAGTCTTTGTTCAGCCACTTGCTTCAAGACACACCGAGACAAGCCTCCTGCAGAGAAGCTTCAGTAGAAAAAGCAGCTTTAACTGGAATTCTGCCCTTTCTCAAAGGAGTAAGTCAAGCCAGCTGGAAACTCACTATTGCCAAACTCTGTCCCAGAAAGACAGGGGCACCAAGTGGAAACAAGCCAGCCAGGTCATACTTGTGTGCAGGGTGAGGCAGATGCTGTAGCAGGAAACAGTGAAAACAGCAAAAATATCCCTGCTGGAGGGGGCCTTCTCCTGAAGACGGAGCGGCCCCCTGTAAGTGGACTAGCCAGAGAGCAGCTAGCCAAAACAACAACACCCTAATTTTTGCTCGGGTGGGCCTCTCGGGGAGGGGAGAGGAGGGGCGGTGAAAAGTGAGAAGAACCTTACCTGTTGCACATTGGCATTCGTATCCATTTGGGTGATCGATACACTTTGCCCCATTCAGACACGGAGTACTGGAACAGTCATCAATATCGATCTGGCAAACTGGCCCCGTGAAACCTGAAAAATGCCATCAGTGACAAAATTCAAAGAGTTATTCCTGGTCTTCCTTTATTACAAGGGTGATGCTAAAGATGAGTTGGGTATGGTGACTGGCAGTAGTTCTGCAATGGAGAGCACTGTTCTCCCCAACAGGTGACTAAGATTATAGTCCAGTGCGCCTCAGAGGGCATCGAAGACACCTGCGGAGCATTTCTATGCCTGTTTCTTCTAGGTGGGGATCTCCCTTCCTGTCGGAGCAGCTAAGGACGGAAAGGTTATACCGGGAGCCGTCAGGCAAGGAAGTGCAGTTTGAGAGGCAACTGGAAGCGTCTCTCTGAAACAAAGCTATATATAGTGTAAGGCAGACAATCTGGCACGTCTCAGCAATAGCGTTGGGAAGGAAAAGCGGAGACAAGAGCTTTCTTTGGAAGAAACTGACTTGTGTTGTCTGCTTCTAGACCCACTGGTGAAATGTCTAAAAATAACAGTCTCACAGAGGGGTTTCAGGAACATGACCCATGGGGGTGGGGTGGAAATTCTGCACAGCCTGCTACCAAGGCTTCTGTGGGGTATGAGCTCTGTGAAATACACACAGACAGAGAGGTCATGGTCCATTCAAGAACAGACTTGGACTTCTGGCCACAGAGGATTTGGAAGGTCCACCAGCTAAGACAAACTCCCCATCTTTATACACACACGCCTATCACGAAGCACTCACTTTAATGATTTCCTCATGCTCGGCCCACACACATTCTCTCCCTTCTCCCGCCCCTGTGAGCAGCAGGCTTTGTGCTTTCAAAGGAAACGGGGGCAGGTGGTGGGCACTCACCAGGCGGACACTGGCACTGAAAGCGATTGACTTTATCCACACACTTCCCATTGTTCACACAAGGGTTGCTCTGACATTCATTTATCTCCAGTTCACAGTGTACACCTTTGAAACCTGAACAAAGTAGACCACACAAGTGACTCAGCGAGTAGAACAGGAGCGCTCTAGCCAAGAAAGCACACACTTTTCAACATGGTCACATCCTCCACAAGCCTGAACGTTTCTGTGAAGGGAAAGGTGGTTGGCGGTGACGGGAAGTAGCCACTCAGGACAAGCAAGGGAGAGAGCCGCATGATCCGTGAATCACAAAGGACTCCCTCCAAAGACACAGGTAAGACCTAGGTGCAAACCAAGACTGTGTCACATGCTCAGTAACCAGTCCATACTTTCACGGTAGCGCCAGGCCACAAAGGGTCCCAACCCTATGTTCCCAAAGGCCAGCAGGGCCTGGGCGGCTGCTGCTCTCAGGTGCAGGTCAAGCTCCGGGAGCCTTCTGTCTGCTAGAGACCGGCATCCTGAAGCAGGCAGAGCAGCCACCCCGCTCAGCTGGGTGTGTTCTCCCAAATGGTCTCTCCAGAAGAGTTCCCAAATACAAGGAAATGCGTGCCTCATCCGGGTAATTGGCAAGAGTCTACACAACTGTGGGTAAGATAATTTCAATAAATTGAATGGCAGGACATTTGCAATATATTAGAGCAGTGGTTCTCAACCTTCCTAATGCCACGACCCTTTAATACAGTTCCTCATGTTGTGGTGACCCCCCAACCACAAAATTATTTTCATTGCTACTTTATAACTGTCATTTTGCTACTGTTACGAACCGCTGTATTAGAGAATCAGGAAAGCTTGCTAAATAAAGTGCTCTTCTAACAAGTCCTTCATTAAACCAAAGGGCACTTCAGTAAAAATATTGGTAATCACTTCTGGGGTTTTATCAACTCGCTTCATTTGATCTATATAGCTTCAGACATTCTCTTTGTCTGGGATCCTTGAGTCAGGTTCTGGCCATTCATGTGTTTCAATATTCCACCGTGCATATAGGGAATTCAGCGCTGGCGAAGGCAGGGGAACTGATGTGAATGACCACGTGTCCTGCTGTGAAGTGTAGTGAAGCCCCCCCTCCCTAGATCCCCATTTACCTGGCATGCACAGACATGTGAACCCTCCAATCTTATCCAAGCAGGTGGCATCGTTCTGGCAGGGGTCTGAGTGACACTCGTTGATGTCCATCTCGCAGCGAGGCCCTGCATAGCCCCTCAGACATTCACAGTGGAAGGCGCCATCTGTATTCACGCATTTCCCTGCATGCTCACATGGGTTGCTATTGGCTGAAATACACAGCATCAATTACTAGGATCAAAGCTTTTGGGAGAGTTTCAACAAACGTGGACTACAGAGACAGGGGAGATGTTTGTAGCATGATAGACGGTCCTTCAGTGATCTATGTCTCAATTTCCTATTTCCTTCCCCAATTAAAACAATAAAGAAACGAGACTAGGGCCATGCCAACGCTCATGCACCCCTGCACTGCTTCTGATTCAAGTGTCATTGAGGGAGGGCTTTATTATTAAGAGTCAAGTACAGACCACGCATACACTTCAATTCCCAGAGTGGACTATACAGTTATGCTGTAAACAGTGGGCATGTAGCAGGGCAGACCGGCGGCCTGGGTTGCATATGACCCTACAGCTACATGTGCTGTGTTTCAATGCCGGATGAACTCGGCAGGTGCACGATGAGTAGGAAGAGGGTCTGTGTACTCACCCATGGCACACTCATCCACATCCTCTGTGCAGTCAGCCCCTTTGTAGCCTTGTGGGCAGGTGCAAATATACTGCCCGTTCAGGGGGTTGGTATCACACAGTGCCCCCTTGTGGCACGGATTGCTGATGCATGCATCATCCAGATGACACAAGAGACCTGCCACAGGTTGGGGGAAAGGGGAAGTGGAAACGTCTCATGGTTAGGTGATCAAAACCCAATGTTTGGATTTAGACGCCACTTGCCTTTCGCCTGACCCTACCAAAGGTACAGTCTGTGACCATCAGCAGAGCAATCGACCGGGGCAGGTTACCCTAGGAGCCTGTCCTGGTCATCTCAAGGCATGACCATGCACACAGGCAGAGACACCGACCGGCTGACAGAAACGAGGAGACAGGAAACTGGAGGTATCCTACTACAGCTGCCATGTTCAGAAAACAAAAGGAGGTTTCACAGTTCTATCTGAATTTCAGATAAACAACAAATTCTTTTTAGTGTAACACCACAAATGTTACGTGAATCCTGTGTTTTTTTCTGGTGACCCAACCCGCCAAAATCATGCTGCTGGAGGGAGGTGAGACACTAGAATAAGGTGACCAGACGTCCCGCTTTTGGTGGGACAGTCCCAATTTTTAACAATTTGTCCTGCATCCCGCAGCATTTTTTAAAAGTCCCGATTTTTGGAAAGACTGCACAACAAGCTAGGGTATACGGTTTTTGGCTGCCATGTGGCTATTTCGCCAGGATATGAGTTTTATCAATGGTGTCCTGCTTTAACAATGTTAACATCTGGTCACCTTACACTAGAATCACCTCACATGCTGCTCCCCTTCTTGCTCCTGAGCTTTAGGAAATCCACTTCGGCTCTGATTTTCCGATTTTTAATCATCTTCTATGTACATTGTATTTATTCTATTGCTTATTGCTGGGGCGGGGTTTTAGGAACATCGTTTCTTATTTTTTTTTTTTTTTTTTTTTGGTGACTCAAAGTTTACAGAGCAAATCAATTTTTCACTCAGCAATTCATACGCATTTTGTTTCATGACATTGAATGGAATTCCCACAATGTAACTTATCCCTTAACTCACTTATCCCTGTGTTTCCAATTTCCATCCATCTTTCTCCCTTATCTCTTCTTGTCTCCAGGGAAATGCATCTTTCTCCCTTATCTCTTCTTGTCTCCAGGGAAATGGCACCCTTTTGATTTTGAATGGTTGATTCTAGGATATACTACTCTGCTGTTGCTGTTTACTTTATAGACAAGCTTATAATTTGGCTGTCAGTTAAACCAAGGAGGGGAGTTCAATTTCAATCGATATCTATCCAACCAGTGAGTCTGGTCATTTTTATGATTCTGAGCTTTGTTTCAAAGTGTCCTCTCATTTTACCCAACACTGTCTATTGTGATCTCTTTCAGAGTGGTCAGCAGTGGGAACTGGGCACCATCTAGTTCTTCTGGTCCCTGGGTCACGGGAGCTGGGGTTTGTATGGTCCGTTAGTCCAGTGGACTAATTACTTTCATGTGTATTCAAATTCCTTCCTCTTCTTTTTCTTTTTCTGGACAGGGAGAGAGACCACTAATTGAACCTTAGATGATCGCTCAAAAGCTTTTAACATCCCAGGTATTACTCACCAAAGCAGAATGTAGAACACTGGCTTTGTGGGCTATGCTTTGCCATTTAACCTTGATGTTCCCAAACACTATGGTCCCGAACCACCAGTCCCAGCAACTCATTCTCTGAAGGTGTTTGGCTATGGCAAAGAAGACTTCATAGCTTTGCTTGTTGTATGCTCTACTGTATCCCACAGATATATTTACAGATTATGTAAACACAGATGTAGAAATGTCTTGTCACACTATGTGTGTGCATGTATATCTTTCTGTTTATACACACACGTACTCAGAGACACAAACAGGTAAAGACACCTATAGGTTGAAAAATGAGGAGGAGACCAGTAACTGGAGGAATTCTAACACAGGTGTCAGACGTAAGCAATGAAAACACGAGGATGCCCAGTTCCATTTAAATTTCCGACAATGAACACATACAAACACTACTTAGTACTGGGACCTCGATGACTTATGGATAGGCAAAAAAAATCATTCACACAGTTCAACCTCTCTTATAAATGCAGGGATTTGTACAAAGTCTTGTCATACGTAAAAGTTTCCATTACTCACTAAGCTCTGCTTTCTATGCATCTTGAAGAGACAAGGTCAGTGTTTGAGAGCACCTCACGACAGACCATCTCTCAGGCCTTTGTATGTTTGGAGAGACAGAAAATCATGAATCTTTCTCAAAATAATATTATTCTATTTTTCTCCTGTCCCCAATACATAATATTAAGTCAAGAAATTTCAAAAGAATTCTAACATGTTGTTTCTAATATTATGTAAAAATTACTTTCTCGGTTTGTTTGTTTTTTTAATATACAACCTCCAAATTCATTAAAGAGGAAAATAAATATGAAAGTCTATAGGTTAAAAATATCATTCAGCTGTGCTCCGGCTGGGAGTCTGAGATCTGATCTTTCCTATTGTCCCGTCTCATACACCGGAGGTACAACTTGAATGAAGAGACGCATGCTGCCTGCCGAGCAAAAGGCCATCAGCATTTGTCCTAGAAGAAAAAGCAGCTGAACATCACCAGCCATTTCTGAAAGCAGCCTTTTTAGAGTTCCAGCGTCCCTGGCTCTGTTGCCCACCGGACTCCAAAGATCTTAGCAGGCCCCAGGTTCTGCCTAGTTCACAACGGGAACTGGATTTTCCAGTCTGCAATTAGCTTAAGAACAGGTAGCTAAGGCTTCCTTCCCAAAGCTGGAGGTGGGGCTTTTGGAAAGGTATAACATTTCAAAATTTCTGGGAGGAACATTCTTTCAACTGAAGCTATAATCTTCCATATAGTCCTCCGCCCATGGATTTCCTACTCCAAGGACTAGATGCTGTCAAACTGACAGAGAGACTGAGGAAATGTTAGCTTTGTGTTCTGTAAAAACCATCCCTGAGAGTAATTTTTTCATAGATATGGAGGGCTGGAATGCACTTATACACTGCTCTCTTGTCAACTCCTTCTGAGAAAAATGGATACTCCCTTCTTACAATTAAGTACCTGATCCAGTTATGATGAGTCGCTTGAATTTCTGCTTTTCAACCTGAGATCTCACCGGATACCTCAAAAGATCATAGCTACTGTTTTTTTCTTGGAATGCAAAACTGGGGCACACAGAGTTGGAAAGGCCTAAGGAAGAAGCCTAACTCAGCACTTTGGCTGGCAGGTTACAATTCCAGAAGAACAGTCTTGAGTGATGTAATCCTAAAGATGGTCATTCAAAAAAGACTGCAATGAGGATGCAAGGGAAGAAGCAGCCCTGACCCTTACTTGCGCATCCTTCCCTGGTCCCCAGCTCTCTCCTGTTGGCCTTACCTGCCTTTCCTTCTGGGCACATGCAAGAGAAGGAGGCCACACGGTCAATGCAGGTGGAGCCCGCGGTGCAGGAGGCGAAGGCACAGTCATCGATGTTCTCGCTGCAGTCATTCCCACTCCAGCCGTTCACACACACGCAGCCGTAGCCCCCATTGCGGTTGGTACAGGTGCCCCCGTTTTGACAGGCATTGGGTTGTAGCAGACATTCATCTACATCTTCGGTGCAGAATTGTCCTTTTGGGAGAAAGTGCCTGATTAGAAAGTTTGAAGTCTCAAAGGAGGAAGACACCACCAGCCCCCACCTACTCCCTGCCATCATGTGACTTGCCTTAAACTGAGGCACAGTAGAGCCCCTAGCAGACCAGGCCCTTGTGGGATTTTAAGGTCGCCTTAAGCCAGCCACATGATATTTAGTGCGGGCAAGTGATTTATGCAATAATGCAAGTTGCCACTGTGAGAAATTGACAGCTTGAGATTTTAGCCACCATATCAGAGAGAATGTAAGAGCTGCAGGCCCTCTGACACAGTTACGCCCCTGGACAATGAATTCAAGCCGGAGAAGAGCGAGGAGAGGAGAGTCTAAGAATGCGGGAAATGACAACGAGAAGGGACCTGGGTGTCCGAACAGGACAGCAACTGTTCTATACTTCAGTGTACCGCTCATTGGTTTTGCTATTGTGCCATCGTTTTGTCAGATGTTACCATTAGGTAAAACTGGCAAAGCGTATGCAGGGTCTCTCTGTTGTTTCCCACATCTACATGGGCACCTAGAATTATCCCAAAATACAGAGCTTGATCAAGAAAACTGATAGAGCAAGCAAGGGCAGTAAAAAGACATTAAAGACGATGGAGAGCCCTGGTAAAATATGGATGTGAAAGGCCATGCCAAGATTCCCAACAGTGGAGCAGTCTTCCAGGGTGTGGATTTGTGGAACAGGACACAGAACAGCCACCCATACAATATGAGTGGGGAGGCCCAGGCTTGCTCTGCCTGAGGAAGAGCATGTTACAGGATGATAAACATGAGACCACTGAGGAATATGCTTCAGTTCAGAGGATGGGTTACTGAGGCAAAGGGTCTTAGGTCCCATAACAAGAACAAGAGTAAGACTTCAAGTTACAACCAAGGGAAAGTTTACTAACGAGCAGTTTAGTCATCTGAGCTGAAAAACACGTTGCGAATTGGCCTTATTGGAAGTCTGTGAAAATCCGCATTAGAGAGCTCTCAAAAGGAACGAAAATTCAGATAATCTGCATGCTCTCAAACCTGACAAGTTGCTGAGAGTAAAAAAAAAAAAACCAAAAACCTCCAAGGACTTTAATTCTTTCTTTTTAAAAAGAACTCAATGAATAATTCAAAAAGGCATTCTGATGAAGAGGCCTCTTAGTGAAAAAACCATGATGTTTCTCTTCAGAAAATGCCAAGGCTATCTCTAGTCCCCAGAATAACTAACAGCAATTCAATGGACTCGAGTAATTACCGAGGCCTACAACGTGCCCAGCTACATCGCCATTATTGCCGGCAGAAGTTGGTTGTGCCTGATCTATCCTAAATGACCACCTTCACTATACTCTTAACCTGTACAGACAGGATTGAGGAACCCTTGTTTGCACATCCATCTCCCACCACTTGGCTGCAAGAAAGCTCAGGAGTTTACCACCTCCGCTGGCAGGATGGGCACGTGGCATCGCTGTGCTCTCTCCTCCCTCCATGTCATCCCTGAAGAAATACCATGATCTCACCCTCCTGGTCCCAGCTGACTGAACCCGAATGGAAATCGAATCCAAGCTGCATCATTGTCTCTTTCCCAAATTTTCTGACTAAGAATTAATTTCAGATGAGAGACTAATTCATCTCAGACTAGGGACTTTTGGCCAACCTGCATGGAACATGACGAGGATGAGGGAAAAGTGACACACAAACAAGAGGAAAATGCAGGGTCCCCGGTGGCACTGAAGTCGCTGACTCCAGTTGTTCCTGAAGCCTGACTGCCATCTGAGATATGGCCTTTGCAATATGTCTCTCTTGCCAGTTACGCCAATTTGTATTGGGTTTCTGTCAGTTACAGCCACAGCATTAGCTAATGTAGTGCGAGTCAGTGAGTGAGCAGCTGGTGACTAAGTGGAGTCTCAGAGACAGACATGGGGGCAATCATCTCCCCCAGGGCAGATGAAATCATTTATGATAGAAAACTCTGCTGCTCCCTTACTATGTGAGCTGAAATGCTTCCTCAGAAAAAAAACAGCTGTGTTATGTGGGTGAGATACAGAAAACATGACCAAGAAATAGGTGAAGCATTTCTGTTACACAGAAAATTGCTGAGATTCTTGCCTCTCAAATGTATGCTAATTC